AGGGAATTTTGACTTATAGGGGGGACTCCAACGTATGAGAGGAACTCTGACAATATGGGAGACTCTGATATGATGGGGAGAACACAGACTTGATGGGGGAACGTCTGATTTGAAGGTGAACTTTTGATTTGCAGTTAATTTCATTAAGTCAATTGTGTGCATTGTCCCAGGCTCAGGTTTCCCAAAGATGAAGTAACAATTGTGTTTTTTTTAGGTTGGGCTACTTCATGATTTCACTTGCTTTTAAGGGGTGCCACGACTAAAATAAGTTTGAGAAAATTTGCTCTAGGAAGCATTGATTAAGCATTAACTTTTGCAACACCTTCCAAAATAGCACTCTTGTCAGTCTCCAACCCCCATTAGAGTCACAATTATTCTATCACACTCTTATTGGAGCAATGCCCCTTCCCTCCTCCTTTAATAGCTTTAAATCTCACAGCAAAAATGCTTAAAACTCTTCACCTGATACATACCTCCCAACTTTTTGAGATGGGAACGAGGGACACCTATTTGAAAATGTATGTAGGCATAGGACACTGCCCCTGCTACGCCCCCTTAATGGAAAGTTATATAAAAAAATTTAGGTAAAATCACAAGTGCTTTTTTTTTACCACTACTATTCCTTTATACTGGCTGTTGAAGTTTACAAATGCAACAATTTAAAAATTAGATGAAAGGTTTAGCATTGGGAAACACTTTTTGAAAGATAGTTTATTTTATATACAGTTATATAGATCAGACAAAATGAGGAGAAAGGAGGGACAGAGGGACTTTGTTTCAAATTGCGGACAGTCCCTCGAAATCGGGGAATGTTGGGAGGTATGCCTTATATGCTGTTGTTCTTTTCTTGGGGCATCAGATAACTATCTATACACCTTCTGTACGTTCATCGAGGCTCTGCGATAAAGTCAATGAAACCCTCCCTAAATTTTCTTGTGTCATTCTCCTGTCTGGGTTCATTCCAGGTTCCAGGTAAGGTGATCCTTGCTCCTCCTGTTGTTGTCCAAATTAGCCTGCAACTACAAGGAACTTTTTCTTAAAAAATATAATTTTTGCACCTGCATGCTTGTTACTGAGTCCATTGCATCAATACCAACTTTTTTCTTGAGCTGGTGTTTTGCTGCTCCACCATATTGCTGGCATAAACTGCTGTCAAGGGTAACCACAAGGTATCATAAAATAGCCCAGGACCTTCTCAACGCATTTCAAGCACAACTGTATCCTTCTTCAGGATTTCAGCCTTTGGACTAACACGCGATACCTCCCCTATTTTCTTATATCCAATAAATCCTGCCCATAAAGACAGCAGTTTAAATCAAAGACAGTGTTAAGACCTTTGGATTGAAATACTTCCAACTTGTAGATCAGCTATCCTTTTTGTGATATGGTTTTTCACAACATTCCCCCTTTCCAATGTCTTTTGATCTTTTATATCCCTATAGATTTGAACCAGTTGGGTCACAATTGTGTGCTGCTGCATGCAGATATGGGCTCTTATAGCCCTTTTGGTTTTCCTGATATGTCCTCTATGTGAACTTGCAATTAACTTTTTGTCCTTTTATGTATTGAAGAAGACAACTACCAGTAATTATACCTTATTTCTTTGTTGCAGATTATAAATTGTTTGATTTCAAAACATGCATTAACCCAATGCCTTAGAACACTTAGGTGTGAACAGGGGTGGACTGACAACTCATGGGGCCCCCGGGCAATAGGGGATCATGGGGCCCCTGTGTCCTTGCCCAAACTCAAAAAAGCCTATGAAAAAGGTACCAGGGCATCTCATGGGGCCCCCTACTGACCCCGGGCCCTCTGGCAGTGCCCGAGTTTCCAAATGGTCAGTCCACCCCTGGGTGTGAAGAGGAGCTTAGGGGTTACCCCTACTTTACCTATAGCATTTGTTTTCTGAATTGATGGTGCAAAAAAAAAATTTGGAATTGTGTCTACATTGTTTTTGTGATTTTGATCCCCCTATTAGATACAACTTTTAGACACAGCATGGCAATCTTAGCATGGAAATCTTTTGAGCTTCATCTATGCATCTGAAATGTTTGGTCTGTGTTAGATTCTATCTTATAATGATCTGTTCAAGCAGTCTATGTGGAATGATGATACTGGAGCTGACACAATACAGCTAGTGTAACGTGGCTACTGCTTTGAGATCATGGACAATCTCAGTGTAAAGCCTTTCTGAATAATTTATATGTGAGTCACTTTTATGGAATGCATTGAATGAATGTGATCTAGCACAATGCTCTGCAATGCTCCACTGAAAATGGACAGTATTGTGGAATTTCAAGAGTGCCAGTAAATGTATACCTGTAAACAAATCAATGGTTAACGTTTACCTGAGCTTTATTTACCATCCTAGAGTCCAATCAGCTAAATGCATTCTGTATAAATATGAAAAGTCTGCGCTAGCAACAGCTGCATGGTGTTTCATAGGGCATGCTTCCTGATGGTGACAACAATGGACCATGCCTACTATGTTTTGGGTTGGATCAACCACTTTTAGCCTCCATCGGAAGCTTGTGTGACTGGGAGACAATGCTGGACACAATTGGAAGACAGGTACAAAGCATTGTCACCCTATAACAGGAAAAGCCTGAACAACGACCTTCATGGCAGGATCACCAGGTATTACTTTTAAGAAAACTGAAGATTTAAAACAATTTTCAAAATGACTTTATAATTTACACTTACATTTTAAAGCTTTTATGAGTTTTTAGTGATTGAGTTAACATGTACTTTAAGGTGCTAACAGATATGAGATGAATCCATCTTAATCTGGTTCTTTGGAGCCGTATTGGGCATCCTTTGCATGACCATGGCAACAACTTGACCGTTCTGTAGGATCAGTTGTATCTTGCCAGATGAGGTATCAGCTTTTTGGTTTTATAAAGTTTCATACCAACTATCGTTGTATAATCAGTATGAATCAAGAAAATCATTCTTTTGTTAGGACCAGGAAAGAAAAGTGGCCCCATGGGATTGTCACCCCTGTAATCAATATGTTTTCTAAATGAACTATGATGACTGTTAAGTACATGTTTCTCTGGGGCTGCTTTGCTGGTTATTTCTGGTGTATGTTTCAGCTACAAGCTGCCAGAAAGATTTACCTCTGCGGAGCAGTTCTTCAGTCAGCTAACCATTGGATTAGGGACAAGTCTTTCGGCTGGAGAACATCTGGCTAATGAGTGTAACCTTTCACTTGTACTGTATATCCTTTCCTGACACTGGGCAGTGTCAGAATTTATCTTATGTCTGTCATCCGGACTCACTTCTGGATTATCTTCAGTCTTCCTGTTGAGTCTATTGACCTGCTCCACTGCCCACCTCCCCTTTGTTCTATTTTTCCCTCATTGTGGTCCATCTTTTTGGGATAATGTTGTCCACTTTGTGGGTGGACAGTGGATGGTATTGATGGTGGATGGTGACTGTTATTTGGTTGGTTTAAGATATTACTGCTTGAGCCTTGGTGACTACGTATGCCAGTCTGTTAATAGTTAGGAGAGGTTCTGTTTGGTCTTAAAGTTTATTTCTTATTTTAAACCTATTTGAACACAATAAAGGAGCCACAACCTAAAGTTTTCCTCATTTTTTGTGTGTTTACTTTATATTTAGGTATTTTTTTATGGTATGATGGGTGTTAATGGGGTGTACAATCCCATGCAAAGTACATTTAAAAATAGTGGCAAATAAGATCACAATGATGGCAACAGGTACAGGAAATATCTGTCTGTATTGTGGGTTATCGCAAGATGGGAAAATAGACGTGAAAAAAGATTCCAGACTAACAGAACAATTTTCGGCCACTGAGACATTTATTGGGTGAATGGCATCTCAAAATTGCACATTTCTTAAGACCTATATTTATTATCTATTGGTTTTCTTAAATCCATGATGACAAAATATACATAAAAGTAAAGCCAAAACCTTTTTTTTTTTAATTTTGGATAAAGTAGGGGAGGATTAAAACAACTGGCTACTTTTTTGCCATTTTTGTCTCATTAGGGATATATCCTTTCGCTTCTTGCCTCATGGACTCAATGGATCTTGAGAAGATATCTTTCTAATATGAGGAAGATCCCATTTTTGACAGTTGTCATGGGAACAAGCTGTCCCTATTGGATCATTTCCTTTCTATTTCTGTTCTGGCGGAATCTCAAAATTGTGGATTTACCCTTACATACATTCCTTGTGACATTAGTAATCAGTACAATTAGAGAGAGTGAATATCCCTAGTGGAGACAAGGATAGCAATAAAACCCAGACACCATTATATGCAAATAAAAAAAAAAGAGAAATACCTTTAGTTATACTTTAAGTTTTGTTTTTTTGTATATACAAGGGATCTTCAAAAAGAACCCCCATATATGGGATTGTTGTTTTTCTGAACGTGCTGAGAAAATATGTAGGTTGCCACTGCAGAATGTATCTTTTGAAAAGCTGCTTGTCTAGCTTTCATGCTGTTTCAATATTATTTATTACAGGTACTTGGGTAGTGTCATCAATTTACACAGCACTTTACATATATATAGTACATTCACATCAGTCCCTGACTCTCAAGGAGCGTACAATCTAAGGTCCCTAACTTACATTCATAAATACACATACTAGGGCCAATTTAGACAGGATCCAAGTAACCTACCAGCATGTCTTTGGAGTGTGGGAGGAAACAGGAGGACCTGGAGGAAACACACGCAGGCACAAGGAGAACATGCAGAGTCCAGGCAAGTAGTGCCGTGGTTAGGACCCTAGTGGTGCTAGGTGGAAGTGCCAACCACTTAGCCACTGTGCTGCCCAGGACAGGTTGGCTGAGTCTCTTTTCCAAACCCATCGTTTCTTTTTAATACGGATCTATGAAAAAGATTATCTATAGTGTCTTGACATCTGTAATCAATTTGTTCTGTTTGTGTGGTAAAGTAAAGGTAATACGTTTTTCATTTTGGATAAGGGAAGGTTATAACCCCTGCCAGGTTTTCTGCCATCTTTTTCCTATTGGAGAGAGTTCCCTTCACTATGTCCCATAGCCAAAACAGGAAGTGAGAGGAAATCCATCCAAAGTGAGGGAAGCCCTGGTTGTCATCAGAACTACTGTCCCTATTGGAAAATTTCCCATCTCTTCTTGTTCACTAGTGTCAGTAGGTTTTTATTTTTATTTAATTTTTTACAATTGTATATATATATATATTTTTTTTTTTTTGTAGGAAGGAGGGAAGGAAAGAGAGAAGGAAGGAAGGAAAGAAGTAAGAAGGGAAAGAAGGAGGAAAATAAGGAAAGAGGTAAATAAAGAAGGAGGGGAAAGAAAGAAAGGAAGAAAGAAAGAAAGAAAGAAAGAAAGAAAGAAAGAAAGAAAGAAAGAAAGAGAAAGAAAGAAAGAGGGAAAGAAGGAAGGATGGAAACAGGAGACAGAGAGAGAGAAAGAAAGAGAAAAAGAAAGAAGTATAAAAAAAAAGAAAGAAGGAGGGAAAGAAGGAAGGATGGAAACAGGAGACAGAGAGAGAAAGAAAGAAAGAAAGAAAGAAAGAAAGAAAGAAGTATAAAAAAAAGAAAGAAGGAGGGAAAGAAGGAAGGATGGAAACAGGAGACAGAGAGAAAGAAAGAAAGAGGGAAAGAAGGAAGGATGGAAACAGGAGACAGAGAGAGAGAAAGAAAGAGAAAAAGAAAGAAGTATAAAAAAAAAAGAAAGAAGGAGGGAAAGAAGGAAGGATGGAAACAGGAGACAGAGAGAGAAAGAAAGAAAGAAAGAAAGAAAGAAAGAAAGAAAGAAAGAAAGAAAGAAAGAAAGAAAGAAAGAAAGAAAAAGAAAGAAGTATAAAAAAAAGAAAGAAGGAGGGAAAGAAGGAAGGATGGAAACAGGAGACAGAGAGAGAGAAAGAAAGACGAATGGAAGGAGGGAAGGAAAGAATAATGTAAAGAAAGGGGGAAGGAAGGAAGGAAGGAGGGAAGGAAAGAATAATGGAAAGAAAGGGGGAAGGAAGGAAGGAAGGTAGGAAGGAAGGAAAGAATAATGTAAAGAAAGGGGAAGGAAGGAAGGAAGGAAAGAATAATGGAAAGAAAGGGGGAGGGATGGAAAGAAAAATGTAAAGAAAGGGTGAAGGAAGGAAGGAGGGAAGGAAAGAAAAATGTAAAGAAAGGGGGAAGGAAGGAAGGAGGGAAGGAAAGAAAAATGTAAAGAAAGGGGAAAGTAAAGAAGGAGGGAAGGAAAGAAAGAGAGAGAAATAAAGAGAGAAAGAAAGAGAAAAAAGAAAGGAAAAAAAAAGAAAAAATGAGAGAAACAGGAGGCAGAGAAAGAAAGAGAGAAGTAAAGAAAGAAAGAAAGAAGAGAAAGAAAGGAGAAGGGGGGAGAGAAGACATAAGGCTGGCTGGGAGTGTGGGCAGGGCAGACACAGGAGGAGAGGGCGGGAAGAGGAGGGGCAACTTTCTCTCTCCTCTCCCATCTGAGGTGGGGGGGGGACTGTCAGCACTGGGGACTGGATATGCTGACAGATCCCCCCTCCCCCCCCACAGTGCTCCGGGGATGAGGGGGGCTGGCCGTGGGGAGGCATACAGGAGCCCACGGCATGCAGCCTGCAGGAGATGGATAGGAGCAGTGGCCAGGTGGAACATAGAGGAACCAAGAAATGCATGGTCCTCTATGTGCTGTCCGGCCGCCTCTCCTATCCAGGTGGCCCCGGCCCACCGGCTACTGCCTGGTGTGCCCTATGGCCGGTCCAGGCCTGGTTTATTCCTACTTTCTACATTTCCCGTATGAATCCACTAAAATGCGCTGATGTGCAGACATGCAAGGGTGCCGTTAATTCTTAAGGGCACCCCATGCACTGGAAATTTGCAGCATGATTTCTCATGCTGGGGACTACATGGTACTATGTAGTTTCTCTGCGGCTACGATTTTGGAAAAAGCGCAGGGATATTTTCCCTGCGTATTCCATAGGTACAGCAGCTATTAAAATCTATAGGCTGCTGTGCCTACGCAATATGGCTGCAGGGAAACCAAGTTAGTGTGAACGTTGCCTGAATCTTAGGAATAAACCCTTTTAAATGGATTGATCTTATCACACCTCTCCTTATCCTTATCTCACCAGTCACTTCCGAAAACTGTTGGTTGTCAATATCATTAATTGCTTACTATCTGACATTCTCTACAGTATCTGTTTTATGTATAGTCAAAACATTTTTTTTTCATTTTGGATAGGTGAGGTAATGGGTGGTGAGAGGTGATGGTACATCTTCAAATGGGGACACTGGTTCTGGTGACAACTGTCTAAGAAAGAAATTAATCACACTTTAAGATTTCCTCTCATTTCCTTTTGAATCTCCAAGACAGGAAGCAAAGGGAAATCTTACCAACAGAACTCAGACAGCAAGAAATAAACTGACAGGGGCTTTACATCTTCCTTGCTCTACCTAAATCTATAAAAAATGCCTATTTGTTGATTAGTAGACATATAGAAATTACTGGCAATGGGAGATAATTCTAATTGATGGTATCAGCGCTTCCTAAAATTTTCAATAGCTAGGCTGGGCTCCCCCTCCTCTATGACTGAAGTAGAGATTTCAAAGACAGGCAATGACCCCTGGTTCACATATCCGCGTTACTGCGGTCCACGTTTTTCATTTGAATGGACTCCCGTGCCCTGTGACGCGCAGGGAAGAAGTCCCTGCACTTCTTCTGAAAACGCAGTCCGCACGGGAACCTCCGTTCTCAGTACGGTTGTGATTTCCAGTGCGGGCGGCGTGCCATTAAAATTAATGGCACCCGCCCACAAGTCCGCATTCCTCTGTGGGGGTGGTGCGGCTGCACAGATTTTTGTGTGGATGTGCAGCGGCACCACCCACACATATGTGAACCTAGCCTGAGAAGAAGTCAGCATTTAGCAGTAGTCCTCCAAAAAAGAAGATTTTTATTATTATACAGGATTTATATAGCGCCAACAGTTTGCTCAGCACTTTACAGTATAAGGGAGACAATACAATTACAATACATTTCAGTACAGAAGGAATAGGAGAGCCCTGCTCGTGGAGCTTACAATCTAAAGGAAGGGGGAGATGATACAAAAAGGTGATAGCTGCGGGGGATGATCTGGTGGAGGTGATTCAACTACAGTTCGTAGGTGGAGGTGGGGTAGGCTTTCCTGAAGAAGTGCGTTTCAAAGATCGCCTAAAGGGAGACAGGGTGGGGGCTGACCGGACATGCTGTGGTAGGGAGTTCCAGAGGATGGGAGAGGCTCTGGAGAAATCCTGGATGTTTTACTACACCTGGAGAGAGGTTTATAGGAGACCTGCTGTCACTACCATGCATGGAAAGCAAAGCTTGTGAAGGCATTGGACATCTTAATAAAGGACTAATTGTAAGATCAATAAAGGGGGGGGGGGGGGGGGTGCAGATGTAAAATCATGAAAAGGATTAGTAACATCCCTCTTATATAATTTTAGAGGAGGCTAAAGCTGGCTATACACTAGTAGATTTTTTCAACAAACATTTGTATGGAAATTCTCAGTACAACCAAAGACTTGAGAATGTCATTCAAACTACTTCAGAATTTAATTTGCTTTTAACATTCAGTGGATGGGCTTTCCTGAATTAAAACCACATTCACTGTTAGGAATTAATTTGACTGAGAAAAAATTTCTGTCCTGCTCATTAGAATTTTCTTGTCACTGAAGATGAAAAACAAACAGCGATTTGACCCTACTAACAGAAAATTTGAACAAACCTTTAAAAATGAATCATTTTGAAAGAAATTCTACTAGTATATGGACAACGTAAGGGTAAGCCTTACTGGCTGCGAGGACTTGTGCTATCCTGCAAGAACTCAAGCACTGGCATGCAATACTTTACCGTCTAAGGGCGTTATAGAAGGTAAGCGTTGGATAACTGGGGGGAGTTGGTTGGTGGTCCTCATCTTATTTTCAAGAGTGGTATTGGTTAAGGTTTCACTGTTTGAGGTGGCTGGGAGGGGTGTGGGTGATAGACGCTCACTTGTGTCTTAGGGGGGGGGGGGGGGGGGGATTATGAGTGGTATGTCCTTATCTAGCTGAAGGAAAACAAATGATGAGATGAGCTTCAGAACACACGCAGCAGCGCATGTTTGATCCCTGTAGTTGCTACATGATGTCATAACCAGCCTCAGATGTTGCAAAGGGCCTAGGCCTGGACAAGCGTTATATTACACCCAGGCTTTGGTGCTTCCTAAGGTGAAGATGTGGCTAGAGTCTTTCTGTCTGGCACCCTTCTTTTTCTTCTTACTGGTATTTATATAGCACCAACAATTTACGAAGTGCTTTACATATTGTACATTCACATCAATCCCTGACCTCAAGGAGTTTACCCTGATACACCCTTGCTCTTAAATATCATGCTTTAAGGGTGACCAATAGTGCTTTAATTGGCACAGACCCACAATTATCCTAAAGTGGTCTTGCATGCAGGGGCGGACTGACAACTCATGGGCCCCCCGGGCAATAGGGGATCATGGGGCCCCTGCGTCCTTGCCCAAACTCAAAAACGCCTATGAAAAAGGTACCAGGGGCATCTCATGGGGCCCCCTACTGACCCAGACCCTCGGGCAGTGCCCGAGTTTCCAAATGGTCAGTCCGCCCCTGCTTGCATGTATTCATACATTTCACTTATCCTTTTTCAAAACTGTCATACATTGTTTATCATTTCACTTCTTTATTTGCTGTTTCACTTATTTGTTAAAGCATTTTTAAGCTCCAATTCTGGGATTACATGCCCGGGGCTTAAAACGTTACCGAAATGGTCTCCAATCTTCCCCTCTCACAATACTTTCCTCCAGGAATTTTGTTACATACAGCTGACAAAATGAAAGATTTTGCAGCAGGTAATGGACATGCTGAAAAAGGTAAAGCGAGCTGTTCCTTTCATTAAAACGACAGCAGGCTGTGATAGATTGTAGGTGAATGTCATATGAAAAACATGCTTAAGTGGAGAATTCTGTTTACCTCCAGCTTTATTTGCCTTTTCTCACCCCCCCTGTGCTGCCAACTACCAGACGGTATCTTCATTCTATTCAGAGGTGAGGACAGGGATTGTTCAACTCTCAATGGGAATCTGGAATGTCTGTTATTTAAACAGCTGCTCTTTCTATGAAGGATGTGCTGTAAGGCATGTGAGTGCTCTGTGGTCCTTCTTGTAAACCCACCCATAGATTGAAGATGGTGGTAGGACACTTACATTCCATACACACGGTATCTACATGGTATTTAAACCCTATTTAGACCACATGTGTATGGAATCATACAGTATATCCTATCACCATATACAATCTATGGGTAGGAGCTTTCATAAATGAACCCCTATTTTTACCTAGAAAAGCTCCTCAGATAACTGGAAATAAAAAGGTCTGTTTACCTAAATGTTCATTGGTGTTAGATGACCCATGGGGGAAACTGATTTGCTATCATTCTACCTAAAAACAACCTTTTACTGCTAGGAGCGAAGCAATTATTGGATGTGCAGATTTTATGCATGTTAAAGAGATTGCCCATTTGGCTTTATAAAGCTTACCTCTGACCCATACATACTGTTCCCCCTGCAACTTAGTTGTTCTATTGGAGCTGCTGCCAAAAAAATCTTCAGCTCCCAGGTATAGGAGAATATATGCCATCCTACCATGCTTCAGTGCTTGGGTCTAGCACAGGGGTGGGCAATCTTTTTGACTTGAGGGCCGCAATGGGTTCATATATTGGACCCGCGGGCCAGACCAAGAGTAGATGAATGATGTGTATGTGTCATCCATAGTAAGTATAGTAATATTCCCCCATAGTAAGCATAGTAATTAATCCCGCATAGTAATTCATCCCCCATATAGTAATTCATCCCCCATATAGTAATTCACCCCCCATATATTAATTCATCCCCTATAGTAATTCATCCCCCATAGTAATTCATCCCCCATATAGTAATTCATCCCCCATAGTAATTAATCCCCCATATAGTAATTCATCCCCCATAGTAATTCATCCCCCATATAGTAATTCATCCCCCATAGTAATTCATCCCCCATATAGTAATTCATCCCCCATAGTAATTAATCCCCCACAGTAATTCATCCCCCATAGTAATTCATCCCCCATAGTAATTCATCCCCCATATAGTAATTCATCCCCCATAGTAATTCATCCCCCATATAGTAATTCATCCCCCATAGTAATTCATCCCCCATATAGTAATTCATCCCCCCTATAGTAATTCATCCCCCATATAGTAATTCATCCCCCATAGTAATTCATCCCCCATATAGTAATTAATCTCCCATAGTAATTCATCCCCCATATAGTAATTAATCCCCCATAGTAATTCATCCCCCATATAGTAATTCAACCCCCATATAGTAATTCATCCCCCATATAGTAATTCATCCCCCATAGTAATTCATCCCCCATATAGTAATTCATCCCCCATATAGTAATTCATCCCCACTATAGTAATTCATCCCCCATAGTAATTCATCCCCCATATAGTAATTCATCCCCCATAGTAATTCATCCCCCATATAGTAATTCATCCCCCATAGTAATTCATCCCCCATAGTAATTCATCCCCCATATAGTAATTCATCCCCCATATAGTAATTCATCCCCCATAGTAATTCATCCCCCATATAGTAATTCATCCCCCATAGTAATTCATCCCCCATAGTAATTCATCCCCCATATAGTAATTCATCCCCCCTATAGTAATTCATTCCCCATATTAAGTCCCCAAGTCCCCCCTGTGTCAATTCACTTACCTTTGCTCCGCGCGTTCCTCTCGCCGTGTTCCCGCACCGTTCCGGTGTAGCATGAAAATCTGTCTCCTATGAGGATCTGTCCCCCTCGACGTATCTGCGCATGTGCCAGTTTCAGGCATTAGCAGCCGATCGGCGATCTCCGGCACATCCGCAGATACGTCGAGGGGGACAGATCCTCATAGGAGACAGATTTTCATGCTACACCGGTCTTCAGGGCGGACTGTGAGAGGAGCCTAGCGGGAGCCTAGCTCCGCGGGCCGTAGTTTGCCCATTGCTGGTCTGGCACCTAATCACAAGGAGGACTATGAATTCCTCTAGCTTGTGTATGCTCTGTCACCATCTAATTTTCAGTCTATGACTGTTGTTTCTGTCTATGCCTTCAAGAGGGTTTTGGAGTAGCCCAAACCTGTGTGGCACTCAAGCTAAGAACAGGCTTTAGTTATGGTTTATATAAATTGTGAGTTTAGGTAGGTAAGTGCTCACTGTATACTCCTGGCTGTTTTCTGTGTCTCAGTAGTGCTAAAGCACAAACGTTTTGTTTAATTTAAATAGTCCCCTCTCAGTTTTTTGCCATTTGTGTGCCATTCAAGAGATTCCCCTTCACTTCTTGTCCTACAGACACAATAGGAAGTGAAAGAAAATCTCTCCAAAGCAAGGTAAATACCATCTTTCAACAGTTGCCACCTAAACACGTGTCCCTATTGGTTGATTTCCCCTCAATTTCTGTTCTGGTGACAAGCTAAAAAGGGGGCATCTCATAGGGCCCCCTACTGACCCCGGGCCCTCGGGCAGTGCCCGAGTTTCCAAATGGTCAGTCCGCCCCTGGGCAGGAGGATGTCCCAGAGAGCTGGTTTGATGAGCCTCTCAGCTCTGACCACAATTTGACCAGCTATCACACCCAGGCTGCTACTCCCCACTAAAAAATTGAACTGGAGCTCCCCCTAGCTAACTAGGAGGGTGCTACAGGTATATGGAGCTGTACACCCATGTGAATGTGGCCCTAAATTGGACCTTGCACTAAAAGTCCACTTATTTCATACTGTCTTCTCCCCCATCTATATTTACCGTAATATTATTATTATACACCTCCTTGGTCTCCGCCCGAACCACACACCTACTGAGCGACATATCAAACTGGATGTCGCTCCACTTCCTTAAGCTGAACCTCTCCAAAACCGAGTTTCTTGTCTCCCCCCCAGCCCGGACACCACCCCCCATTGACTTCTCCATCACATCCAACAAAGCCACCATCAAACCCGCCCCGCAGGCCAGAGTACTTGGTGTCATTCTGGACTCCAACCTATCCTTCCAGCCCCAAGTCCAATCTTTAACAAACTCGTGCAGACTCCACCTCCGCAACATCGCCAAAATACGCCCGTTCCTAACCCCAGAAAACACTAAACAGCTCATCCACTCCCTCATCATATCACGACTCGACTACTGCAACTCCCTCCTCACTGGCCTGCCTCGCCGCTGGCTATCCTGAATATGGCTGCCAGGCTCATTCACCTTTTCAACCGCTCCATCTCCGCCACCCCCCTCTGCCAATCCCTCCACTGGCTTCCAATTACGCAACGGATCAAATTCAAAATCCTAACACTGACGTACAAAGCCGTCCACCATACTGCCTCGAACTACATCACTGACCTAATATCCAAGTACCGCCCAGCACGCACACTCCGCTCCTCACAAGACCTCCTTCTCTCTAGTTCCCTGGTCTCCTCCTCCCAGGCCCGCCTCCAGGACTTCTCCAAGGTGTCACCCATCCTCTGGAACTCCCTGCCCCAACCCATCAGATTATCACCTACTCTCCTCTCCTTTAGGTGCACCCTAAAAACCATCTCTTCAGGGAAGCTTACCCCACCCCCTGCTAACCTGCCTACCTCCTGCACTCTTCCTACCACTCCATCCCCCCCAGCTATCTCCTCCTGTGCCACCATCCCCTCCCTCCTAGATTCTAGATTGTAAGCTCGAAAGAGCAGGGCCCTCGATCCCCTCATGTTTTGCATTGTATTGGTATTGTTCTGTCACATGTTCTGTCCCCCTTTGTAATGTACAGCGCTGAGCGAACCATTGGCGCTTTATAAATACTGTATAATAATAATAATACAGGATTTATATAACGCACAAACAACACTCTGTGCAGAGCTTTAGCAAATAAATGGTAAATAAAAGTGTAGTTACAATACAATTCAAATAAGAAGGTTTAGAGGGCCCTGCTTGTGACAGCTCACAATCTAAAATTATACCCATAAAACAAACCTGTGGAAAACATTGGAAAATATACTCTCCTTATACCAGCTTCAGCCCACAACACCTAGGTGAAAGTGAGGCCACAATCCTTCAGTGAGATCCCAATAATGTGGAGGAACCAAAATCTCACTTGAAAACACTCCACCACAGTGCAAGTACATCTTTTCACAAGCTTGGGATTCTCAGCATTCCCAGGATCTCGCCAGAGAGACTGTAATGTCACCCTGGCTTAGTACTGCAGGCTGTAGCCAGGTGTAAGTTAAGTATATGTTCCCACTTTTTTTCATTGTTTTTTAAGGTACAATGCAGTGATATTAGATGAAGAAAGGGGGTTATGTAATACACAGACCTGGCATTTTAGTGCAAAGTTCATTTTAAGAAGAAGGTGAATGATGAAACCATTTTGTACAACATCCTTATCTCCTGCCACATGATTTTTATTTGTAAAAAGCACACCATCAGCTTTGTGTGCAGGGGGACCAGTAATCAAGAGAAAGGAGAGATTGCATATGCAGGTGAAAAAAAACAGGTTTGCTTAAAGCAGTGTTTCTCAACTCCAGTCCTCATGGACCCCCAAGAGGTCATGTTTTCAGGATTTCCATT